ACACACACACACACACACACACATCTGGCCTGTTTCATACACACACACACACAGAGTGAATGCAAACGTGTCAACATCTGCAACTCATCAATGTGATTCCGCCGCTTTTCCTGAAATCGCGCCCGAGCTGCCGCACACGCCCACGCACGCTTTCTAATCATGAACAAAAAAAAGCGCAATTAAACATGCGAAACCCAACCGAGCGTGTGCGGTCACTTACGAGCCGCGTCGGGGGGGGGGGGGGGGGGGGGGGGGGGGTGAGGTGAGGTGAGGAGGGGAGGAGAGGAGGGGAAGACTGAACCCAGCGCGCATCTGGACCGGCCGTTTCTTCCTCCCCATCCAGATGCGCAAAGGCGCCGGAGGCTATTTTTGAACGCACCGCGGACAAGAAGCACAAAAAAGAAGCGTCTGTTCTCACCCATTTATGTCTCCCGGTGTGCGGCGGCTGCTCCTGCAGGACGGGGGTTCGCAGGGAGGGTTGGTTGATCCAGGTACAGAGGAGGGTTTGTGCCGGACCGAGCTCCAGCCTCCTGCTCCGCGCCACAGATCCGCTAGAGCCGCGCTGAAACGGGAGGAGCGTCAGATGAAACCATATTCCTTCCTCTTTTTTTTGTCTCCAGTGACACGACGGAGAGGAGGCAGAGCGAGTGACCAGAGGAGGAAAGCGCTGATGAACGAATCTCTCTCCCCCCCTCTCTTCCCCTCTCTCCCTGCTGCCTTCAGGACCACTGCGTGAAACCCCACTCTTCCCAATTTGCAGGCCTTCGAGACGCCGTGACGCAACGCGTGGCACCGTGCGTGATGCACAGATGCTGGTGACACAGTTACTCTGTGTCGTGGAGCTGACTGCGGATCTTAATGCAGGAAATAAACTGGTTTTATAGGCTAGTTAAATGTGTTTAAGCCAAACATGTGATGCATTTGTGTGTCCGGCTCCTACTTTTGTCCTGGTCCCACTGGTTGTGTTTATGATAAATGCATTTAAATCCAACATCCATGTGTTGAAACGTCTTTATATACAGTCTATGGTTGAAACGTCTTGTATTGACTTGTAATGTCAAGTATCGAGTAGCCTTCATAATTAACAATAAGTATACGGTATGTACGGATGTGTAATGTATACGTATATAAATGTAAGTGAGTTAAAAACTTTTTGAAAAAGTTCTATATTATCTTGTGTCTTTTGGTTTCTGCTGTTAAAATGAAAACAGATGTGATATTTCAGTATCACTAACTCCAGTCACTTTTTGTTGGGTCGTTCATTCTTCTCTGCTTCTTTGAGATTTCCAACAGTCAGTGAATGCAGCATGAGTGTGAGCTCAAAGCCTCGCACCTGTGCAGCTCAAATCTCGTGAGAACTCTGATGCAGAAACACTAAGAGAGCAGATTATAGTGATGTGATGTCATTCTGACTCACTGCTGTTGTATTGTATCATCAGATGGTCTCATTTATAAAGGCCACGTTTAAAACACTGATGAATAAAAAAGTCAAAAATACAATCTCTCTCTCTCTCTTACACACACACACACACACATTCTCTCTCTCTCTCACACACACATTCTCTCACTCTCTCTCACACACACACACACATACACAGCTATAAGCCCCTGCGGTGTTGTCGTCCCCTCCGGACCAAACCACATGCAGATGAGAATGTGCTGGCGGCAGCAGAGCGAGGGAGATAAAATGATGCAGCGGTGGTTTCGGAGGAAGAGAAAGAGATGAAGAATTAAAGATATGGTTTTCTTGCCCGTCAGCTGTCACCTGGGTGCAGAACAACAAAGAAGACCTGATCTGATATGAAGAACTACGGAACAGCTCAAGAATGGAATTCAAACGTCACAGATGCTTCTTCGGGAGATGAAACCTGTCTGACCTTGACCGGAATGTGGAAATGACTTGAACGCCACATGAATAAATGAGATATGAGCGTTTCTTATTGTTAATTGATGTCAGTGTAACTGTAATAGCCTCGTTTAGTATGAAGCATACATTGTATACAAAGATGGACGACATGACGGCTTCCTAAAAGTGAAGCCAAGATGGCGTCTGTCAGTTTAGGTAGATCTTATTTGTCTTGTACTCATTCATTGTAAGTGTTCTGGTTATTTGAGGCTATTAAAACAAGGTGAAACATCATGATTGACAGCTGGGACAGACTCACAACTGGTCCAGAATGTGTAGAGGCCGGACTTTCCCACTGCGTCTCCACTTAAGAAATAGTTTGGACATGAACGCCGCCATTTTGCGTATTTGGTGCCAGAATCTGTGCCAGTGATTTCCCGTCGATCGTGAGTCAGTCTCAGCTGTCAATCATAACGTTTAACCCTGTTTGAGTACCAGCAGATTTTTACTTAAAACCAAACACATTGGAAAAAGGAACACTAGCTAAGAATGACCTCAAACGACAGTCACACAGTGTTGCTTTACTTCATTTCATCAGCTGAGGAGTTCACACACTTTTTCAAACCTACACTGAATATTTTAATGATGTATTCAATAAGAGCGCAAGATTTAAAAATAGAATGTGTTGGCACATGAACGTCACTTAGATGAAGACCTGACCAGAATTTCAAACAAATTTACACATAGATGGAGATTTTATCCAAGGTCTCACCGTCTCTTTCTTGCCACTGTGACGGGCTATTTCTCACATATACTATAAAACCATCTGTGCTGCTACACTCAAATTGTTTTCCTGTCCAGAGCCGGAGGAATCATTCTCTCCAGAGATGGGAAGTAAATTTAACACAAAGCACGAAAGTGACACCATCTGGGACAGTGTTGCTATGACATGATGTGCTAAGTCCCAATTAAATTTTGCCACCCACTGTTCATGTTGAAACAGACGCCACACACAGGCGCAGATGCACATAGTGAGAAGTCTCAGTAGTGCAAACTCTATTTCTAGCACCTCCGTTCCTCTCGCTCACATTTGTTGCCTGATGGAATCTGTAAAACGGGATTAAAGTCAAGTGAAATCCATTCTATTAGGACTGTGTGTAAATTACTGCAGTGGTGAGAAGGACTTTAATCGCATGTTAGTCATTGCAAATATGATTTGCTCTATTAATAATATTTAGTCTGGACCATTTTCTTGGCTTGGAAGAAAAAAACTTTTAATTGTTGCAGCAGCTTAAGAAGCCAATACAAGAATTTAAGCATATATTTTGAACCAGGAGCAGTAATCACATCATGTCTGTCTGCAGCCACAGGAATTTACATCAGAATCTATTTTAGATGTATTTTCCCGCATGCCGCACTCGCTAATGATGCTGCAAATAACCCCCCTGACCCAGGCCCTCGCTGCCCGTCTTCCATTTCACATTTATTGATGTTCTCTGTTCTCCAGGATGCAGTGTGAGCTTTAGAAATGGTTTTATGCTCTTACTGTGATAAATGACTTGTCCATCAAAGACAGGTCCTCACACTTCATGGCTCAGGTTTTTGTGCTGATGTGCAGAGTCTGCATTGTGACTTAATAAACTAACCAAACTGTTCAATCTGCCACGGGTGAAATCTGGTCATGTTTCAAACACCTCTCGATGAAAACAGCACACACGGACACTCACGACCACAACGACAAAAAATGTGAATAATTACTTATAATTAGTTGTAGATTGGTTGGCAGTTTTATCAGTTTAATTAAAACTACAATAATACAAAGCTTGTAAAAAGGGGGACTGAATATTTTGTGAAACTAATGTATGTTGCTAGAATGATCCCTGAGAATATTGTTTCAATTACATCAAAACTCAAATGGGTTGATTACTTTACTTGCCTTAAAATATGGTTGGATATTCTTGTTAGATGTATTGTTAGGAGACTTTAAGGATTACTCAATGAGCAGATTTGATTTGTTGAACAATTCATTTTTTTCAGCTGTCAAATCAATGTAGTGAGGAGAGAACTTTTTAATTTAGTGAAGTAGATGTTTAAAGTAATGGAAACTGGAAAGTACAATAATATGAATATAATCCATTTATATGGCAGTATTGACATATAGAGTGGGTACAAAGTGCTTTCAAAGTAAAAAGAAAGTAGTAAAATCAG